CTGGGTACTTTGCGATCGGGCCTGAGATACGCAGGTTCTTCAGGTTGAAGCGCGCGTTTTTGCTGCCAGTGGAGTTGGTGTTGGAGTTTTGGGAGCGCTTGGAGAGGATGCTGCGGGGGCTTGGGGGTGGGTGGGCGTCGGCGCGGAGGTGGGTGCTGTGAGTGGGTGCAGCGGGTTGCTGGACGCTGTAGTTTGGTGGGTAGATGGCTTTTACGGGCGAGATTGGGGTTTCGCTGTGGGATTCTGGGCGCGCGATGCTGATGTTTGAGGGGCGTCGTCGCTCGGTGGGTCGGGGGATGGGCTCTGTTTCTTCTACACTGACTTTGGAGGAGTGCTTGCGCTCGTCGAAATCCATGACGGCGGCGTAGAGACGCTCCATGTCTGCTTGATCCTGACCCCGGTGGGCATCAACGACCTTTTGGTCAAACGAGCTTGGTGACTGAACCACAGGACTCTGTGGGTTGCTAACAGCAGAGTCGTTCCTGTTTCTCTTGAACTTTCCGAAAAACGACCGCGCGGATAGCGGTGGCGATGTGAGTCCAGCTGTTCGAAGAGCCGGTAGAGTCGGTTTATCCTGGAGTTCCAGCTCCAATTGCTTGGGCGGGTCGAGAGCCTTCCGTCTCATCTTTCTACCAACAGTGAGGAGAAGAACCCCCCAGATAAGTACTGTAAAGACGTAGCCGCCAACAACACCGCAAATCTCGTACGGCAGCACGTTCTTGTCTCGGACAGCCTGGTATGAAGCAGGAGGCCCCTCGTCAGCCGCCGGCGTGGGGTCGCGATAGTTATCGAGAAAGTCGTAAGGCGCAGCAGAAACACGCGATGCAACAAGAAGCAGTGAGATGAGTGCCGGAGGAAGCGCTCCGACGAGCATCGTAAGCCGCGCCCTCAGGTCGAGGGGGGACTGGAAATATATAACAGAAGGAGAAGAATAATGTGACAATCAGAGTGGGCGGTCTAACTTTCGAGCTTGCTTGCTGCTTCGTCAAGGTCGTCCAGGGTGCAATGTCGATCTAGGGCCGCAATTGCACATGAATGAGTGCCCGCTATCCCGACTGAGAGGAACCGGGTGAAATGCAGAGTGTAACAGCAGGCGACATGGTGATATGAAGAGGGATGGGCAGCGGGTAAGTACTTTGATCGGCGGTCTGCAAGTGGTCGGATGCAAGGAAAGAGCGACTGGGTGTGATGGCTTGGGAAGGTGCATGCGCGGTCTGATTGGCCGGCCTAGTTCTTGAGCTACATTGGGGCGTCCAGTGGATGCTGTCTCTCAGCCGCTGAGGCGGGGTCGCTTCGTCCAAGCTAGGGCGAGATGGGATGTGCCGATGATAAATCTCGACATTCGAGGCTTGAGCTATAAGCATCGAGTCTATGCGGTGGTATCAACTGTTGTAATACCTATTTGTTGTCGTCGTTGTGGTGGAGAAAACCTCGAGAAACATGTTTACCCGTGCCGCAACGCTCGAGCGCACAGTACTCGAGACTACCAACACCAACCTCCCGGACATGCGCGATCGCCTGCCAGCTCGGGGCACAGTCAACGGGAGACGGTCCGCATGCATGAAAGGCGTCCCCTGCAAGACCAAGAAATGCGCACCCGTTCTGCGTTTCCCATTGGCGATGGAGGACTACCTAGGGCTATTCTAATGCCACGTCCCCACTTATGTTTTGAAGCTTTCTATTGGCTACAAACCATCTCTACTGAAGTGTTATGCGCAAGAATCAACACAGAGTACTAAATACTGGAGTACAATTAATGCAGCAGAGGATGAGACCTCCTTTGACCTCCGCTATCCTTTCTCCGTCTCCCCCACCCACCCACGGCGGTCAGCATGCATGAAAGGCAGCCCCTGCACGCCAGAGAATGCGCACTCAACCCGCTATTCCCATTGGCCACAGAAATCTATTCTAAGCGCCCAACTATACCTACATATGCGAATCAGCGCACAGTCACCCCATCACACTAGTAATCACGAGCCATCACGGAGCCACTATATTGGCGACAATCCAGGATCAGACATCTCCATCGCAGTCCGACTCGTCACCTGAAGTGAATAATTCTACGCGGCCTCGTGGCTTAATGCCCGTGATGGGCGATGCAACGAAAGTCACAGACTAGGCTTGCAGCAAGGACCGATTAAAACGCCCGCATCACCCCCCGATGCTGTGAAAGCCGTTCGCATTGGCCGTACTCCTCTTTCGTTCACGATTCATGCAACACTTTCGGCACTTTGGTATGCCTTACTTTGCTTACGAACAGACGCTGGTGGAGAGATAACGTGGCTTCATTATAGCCTCGACTGACTGCGCGTCGTCATCACTATCACTACCTAAGGAAGCATCGTACCGATGCCGGATTAGCGAATGGCTAACAAAAACATCTGCCCAGGAGAGGCTGTGGGAGCTTACCCTGCCAGAACCGAGCACCGAGGTGGTGTGAATTACGCAGTTTGAGGCGGGAGGCATCACTTGCCCTCTGCCTTGGCTATGAGCTTTGCGTCCAGGCCGGTAGGCTCCCAGAGACTCTTGTCTTTTTTGTTTTGCACCCACAGGATATCGCCTTTGAGATACGCCACTGCGCCTCCGCGTCCCGTCGCGCTTGCTGTGACACGGAACAGGGGTAGACCGGTCTGGTCGTGGGCTTCGCGGAGAGGAAGGAGAAGGAGATTCTCTTCGGCGCAGAACTCCTCTACAATGTCCTTGAAAGTCGGTTCGTCGACTTGCGGTGTAGGACGAGATGCTTGTTGGTTGACGGATTTGGAGAACTGAGACACCTCTGGAGAGGCTCCTGTGCTTTCCACCTGGGGCGCGGGTAGATCCGTCAGTCTCGCATCTCCAAGATCCAGTGCCGTGTTGATGAGTGAGTATGCCTCGTTCCACGACGAGGCGACTGAAGGCAAATTGTTGATGTCATCCTGCAAGATCTCAGTCCTCCACCACGTAAGCCACGTCTGGACTTCCTCAAAGACCACCTCCGGGCTCGTGAGCCATTGGTGGATAATCTCGAGGAACTTAGGGAAGAACTGTGCTTTCAGCAGCTCTCCAATAACCTCATTCGATATCAGCCCCTTCCAGGCGAACACAGCCTCTAGTGGCGCGAGATCTTGTTCAGCGGGGTTGATCTCAAAACTGTCGCGTAGGAAGGCGGACAAGCGAGGTACCAAATGGGAAGTGAGTAAGTGATCAAACTCTGCCTTTCCAAAGACCCTTCTCCATTGTTCCATCCCTGGTAATGGACCTTTGGAAAGATCGATAGACTGCAGCGCATGCCGGATCTTGCGCTTGATCTCTGCGACCAGGCCCGATCCCTTGGGGTCCAAGTCAGCTGGTCTAAGGAAGGGCAGCCACTCGACAACCCATGTGTGTGGGCTCTTCTTGAACTTCCGCGGGTTCCACTCGTGAACAGAAGTGGAGAGTTTTGTAGTCACCTGCTCAAGCACTCTCTTCGCGATGAACGGTGGGAGAACTGGCTTCCAAACTTCTAGCAGATGCACCATGGGCTGTGGATCCTTGACGTCCCATTGTGTGATCGCTGAGCTTACTCTTGGCAGCCAGTATTTGAGCATCATGGACTCATATGACGACGTGGTGCCGCGTTTAATCGTGTCTTCCTCGTCGATTGCGGTGCGACTGACCAATGCTTCAGAGGGGTGGGTGTAGGCCTGGGACGCCACCCTCCTACTCCGGGGCTGTATGATATTCGCCATTTCAGAAAAGGCTGCCGCCACGCCTTCCAACGCACCCTCGAGCGGCTCCCAGGAAGCCACCGCTTTGGAGAAGTGAGGATGTACAACGGCGACGGATTCACGGTGTAGTGGCTTAGACGGGTACGCCGCGCGCAGGCTCTTGAGGCCTTCGCAGACCACGTCGAAGGTACCTGTACGCAATGACTCGATCCGTGCTTGTAGGTCCTCCAGCTCGTCCATCTGCCTTTCGAGCGCTTCCAGTTCCTTCTGCAGCGCGTATTCCTGAGGAGGGATGGCTTGTGACTCTACTTGCAGCTGTTCGAATGCCTCCGAGAAGCTGTTCAGGTCTCTCCGTACGCGCGCTTGTAGGGAGTTCTCGAATGGAACAATATCAGGACCGCGGAGTGATACGCCTGAAGTAGGGGTCGATGCGCCGGTTGTCGCGTCGATGATGGATTGTAGCGCAAGCGGCACATGCATGCCAGCTTGCTCGAGTTCGAAAACGGTCTTCTTCGGTCGTGGCGCTGAGGATCGTGTCTCGCCCCGAGCCTTGGCCTTCCTCTTTTTCTTCTCCTCGCGCTCCTCTTCCGACGTGTCGACATACTTCTCGCCATTTTCTTCGGCCTTGCGCCGCTCCTCGCGCCGTTGTTGTTCGCTCTTTTCTGCGACGCTACCGATACCGCCCTTGGTGCCTCGGTTCACCACCTGGATAGGCTCTGAGATACCAGCGCCTTCTTTTCCCAGACCACCCTCGCCCTTGTATCCCATCTTCGCCAGCATCTTGGCACCAAAGCCAGACTTGAGCGCGGAGCCATCCTCAGCCTTTGCCCGCTTGTTGGGTTGCTGGCGAAAGCTGTGTTTGCGCTTGCCACCTTCGTCCATGGTGGAGGTGTTCGTATGGGGAAATATTCGAATACGAGGGTGATATTGGCAGCCGGCAGCTGTTCGGCGCGCGCGAAGAGTCTGGTCGTGGGTTCGATGTCGCAGTGGGTGTCGCAATATATGGGAGTGAACCAGGCAGATATGCGCGCCACGTGATTTGTCGTGGATGGACCGTGGGCGAGGCGGGAGTGTTGTCGCAAAATGATGTTCAGTCGCGAGTTCTGGGTGACAGCGCCAAGAACCGTTAGGTCTGGGTCGCTCCTGCCGTAACGTGCTGGGTGCTATTCTTGGAAAGGATCGGGGTCGATCACCCTCCACCCATGTCCGGTTCGGTGCAACAATCACACCAAAACTCTCCTTTACCAGAGTCGCACCGCAGTCAAGTAGAGACTCTCTCACCTCTGCGGCGGCCCTCTACTGCCTGTCTTTGCGATGACTTCCCCCAAGACCGACCGCGACCTCCGTCATCCGGTGCCCGATCTCCAGTCGTTGCAAGGGGCATATGTGGGCAACATTGAACGCCTGGAAGAACATGCCGAACGCATGAGCGAGTCCGGCTCAGACCTACAGGAGGAGATTCGGAAGACATACTCGGAACTAAAGCTGACTGACAGCCGGCGATCGTCATTGCAGACGACCGACCTCGAGCCTACGAGACAGGCGAGCACCCGAAGTCGCGGCGTTTCGATAGGCTCCCACACCAATTCAATCGTAGACCTCAACGGAAATGCACGATGGGGCGGATACTCTCCGGGCGGTTACATAACCTCTCCTGCAGGGTCGCTGCGCTCAGGGACAGGCAACTGGTCGAAACCCTCGACTTCGGTCCAGCGCCAGCGCTCGGAATCAAAGGCATCGCGTCTCGGACAGATTGTACACCCCGAGGAAGTCGAAGAGGAACACAATGAAGAGAGCGACTCTGCTTCGCCGCCCCAACGGAAGGTCTCGTCCTTCACACGCATATTCGATGAAGTCGCGAATGGGTTGCCTGAAGAGCTGCGTAACAGTATCCATATAGGCACCCCACCTAGACGCCCGGAGCCCGACGAGGAATTGCAGAACCAATATCCAGACTACCGCGATTTCGTAGACCGACCGCCGACAGCAGCCTCGACCGACACCACACACCAAGCACGTACACTATGGCATGACTTTGATGGCGTCCACTGTCCAGATACTGTGGAGGAGGAACCCGAACCATCTCACCACAGCCACAGCCGACATTCCTCGAATCATTCCTACATGATGAAATCCAATCCGAGCGTTCACTCCATAGGCGCACCGCCGCCGGACGATAGCATGGTCTTCTACCCGGCTCCCGTACCGAAGATGCTGAACCTACCCAAGCGCCTGTCACAATTGCCTAATATGAGCCAGCAAGCCAATCGTCGGTCACGGTTGTTGGATTCCATGCAAAACGAGCATAGGAAATCCATGCCATTGCTTGGTGATAATCTAGCAGACCCGAAGCCTAACAACAGGAAGAGCCGGCAGAGTCTCATGGCACTCCCACCGCAATTACGAGCAAGCGCCTACTTTGACAACCGAGCTGCCCCCACTCAGGAGTTTGCGGTCAAGGGAGAGTCTGCGGAGGATACGCTCGAAAGCATCCTGGACGCCTCTGCACATGCTCCTGTGTCTGCATTCACTGATCATCCATTTGCTGGACATGTTGGCGACGAGGTGTACGGTGCGGAACGCAAGCGTAGGAGTTCCAAACTACCGGATATGCCACCGACACTGGCAGAGACGCGAAGACGCAGCTCGTTCAACATACTGGATACTGACCACAACGCAAAGGGCGAGCGCCTGAAGAAGTTGAAGAAACGAAACAGCTCGGCTGACATGAATCTATTACTTGTCAAAGCAAGTGAAAGCCGGATGAGCCTCGGTGACCAATTAGAGGAGCGTGATGAGGATGCACGAGGACCGGATGGACGTGATCCCGATGCTATTCGACCTTCGTTTGAAGAACACACCGAAGATCACTATGAAGAAGGAGAAGAAGAAGAATCGAGCGAAGAGGAAGGGGAGCTTGAACCACAATACGGCGCGCCGACTACTCTTCTCGCTGAGCTTCAGCTACGCAAGGCGAAACAGCAGGGTCGGAAGATGAACTACGTGACACTGATGGAGCAGGGGTTGATTGACGGCAGACAAACCCTGCTCCAAATGAACGACGTGGCCGAAGCCGAGAAGCAACGACGAATCCGTAAAAAAGTAAACCTTGCGTGGGAAGCTCCGCCGGAAGAAGACTCGGATGACGATGTACCACTTGGTGTTCTCTACAGACCTCAACAGCAACAGCAAATGCGTCAAAAGAGCATGGGTCTTATCGAGCAGCGAGAGTTGGAGGACCGCGAACCCCTCAGTAGCCGTCGCACCAGGCTACTCGGCATTGACCCTAATCAACGACGCACACAGTACCTTGGAGCCTCATCAAGCCAGCTCAACCTGCCTACCATCACAACTCCCGAACCAGACTCGGATGAGGAGCCTGGCGAGACGCTGGCCGACCGTATGCGCCGCATCAAGGAGAAGCAACAACGTGAATCAGCGCTCGGCGATGTTCGCAAGAGCACAGTCAGCGATGACTTCGCCTCTGAGATGATGAGCAAGTTCGGTGTTCCAGAAGGCCAGGAGCAATCCAAAGACACTCCTCCAGCACCCCCTCCCGCTGCCGACGACGAAGAGGAAGAAGAGACCCTCGGCCAACGTCGCGCCCGCCTGCAAGCCGAAGCCGCCTTACGAGGCGAACAAGCCCCCCAGTCCGGCCACCGACCCAATCTCCGTTCCTCCAGCAGTCTCGCGGACATCCTCTCCGCCAACCCCATCGACCCTCACAACCAAGCGCGCAAAGTCTCCAACGAAGCCCTCGTCTCGCACCTCCCCCAAGGCAGCCTCCTCCATCAAAACGAGCTAGACCAAGGGCGCAAAAAGCAACAACGTCTCACCGCAACCATGCGCGCCACATCCTACGGCTCCATGGACCCGCTCCTCAAAAACATGACCAACAACCAAAAAGACGACGACGACATCCCGCTCGGCCAGAAAATCCAAGCCTACAAAAACGCTCAGAACCCCATGATGATGGCCAACCAGCAAAGAATGAGCGCCATGCCGCCCCAGCAAGGTATGATGGGCATGCAAATGCCAGGCATGATGAACGGCATGGGACAACACCAGTCCATGATGAGTATGCCCATGCAGATGGGCATGCAGCAGCCGGGCATGATGCAACAGGGTGGCATGATGGGTATGGGATCGCAGATGAATGGCATGGGCATGCAGATGAACGGCATGGGTATGCAGATGCCGATGCAGATGGGTGGCATGCAGATGAACGGTATGCAAATGGGGGGTATGCAGATGGGCGGGATGGGTATGAATGGCATGCAGATGCCGATGGGTATGAATGGGATGATGCATGGGGGGATGATGGAGCCGCCTATGGATCCGAGGCAGAGGGATCAGATTGATCGGTGGATGCAGGGGGTTAGGCATTAGTTTTGTCTTTGTGCGTAGTGGGAGGGTTTGCTTGGGGTGTGGTTCCGTGTAGCGTGTTTGGTTGGTATCTGGCATCTCACATCTGGCATTTCTTTGGGATAGCATTGTATAGCGTTAGATGGGTCCATTAGCAACATTTGCGTTATCAGCGTTTTGACTATATTTAGCATAGCAAGTAGGTAATTTCGAGGGTATATATATGGAATAACGAACGATATACGATTTGTAATTTTGCATTAATCCATTCGCTTGCATTGCTACACTATACAGACTATGAAGATCAATTGCACTTGATCCCCTCCATGTCAACGGCGAGTTAGGAACCTTGTCCTGCCGGGGAAGCGTACCATCTACTGGAAGCGCTTCTCAGCAGCCTTCCAGTTGATGACGTTCCAGATAGCCTTGAAGTACTCGGCCTTGCGGTTCTGGTAGTCGAGGCTGAAAATTGTTAGTCAGAAGCTCTTCATCAACACTCCATGGTAAACTCACTAGTAAGCATGCTCCCAAGCATCAACACCCAGAATAGGACGGAACTGCCCGACAACCGGATCCTGGTTCGCATACGTCCTAATCTGAATAGCACCGGTCTGGGTATCCTGCACCAACCACGCCCAACCACTACCCTGAATCCCCGCTAGCGCCGTGTTGAACTTCTCCTTGAACGCGTCAAGGCTGCCGTAGCTGTTGTTGATAGCAGCAGACAGGGCGCCCGACGGGGGCTCGCCGCCGCCCTGGTTGGCAGGCGCGAGGTTCTCCCAGAAGAGGCTGTGGTTGATGTGGCCGCCGCCATGGAAGTTGATCAAGGGCTGCAGGGCGATTTGCGCTTTGATGTCTTCTTTTTGCTTGGCTTCGGCGATTTGCTCGCTGAAGTTGTTGAAGGAGGTTACGTAGGTGTTGTGGTGGTTCTTGTGGTGCAGCTCCATTATCTTGCCGGAGATGGAGGGTTCGAGCGCGCCGTAGTCGTCTGGAGGGTGTTAGTAGCTGGCACTGATGCGTCTTCCTGGTGTGATGGGCTCGTACATGGGAGGTCGGGCAGCGTGGCCTTGCCGCGGACGAATGTCGTGCCTGCGAGGCCGGCGCGAGATGTGGTGGGAGCTGCGGCTCGGGCTGCGGAGCGCAGGGCGGATGTGCGGAGGAGTGCGGTGTTCATGATGGCTTCAATTGATGTTGTGGGTTCAATCGAGTGTGTGATGTATTGGTGTTGTAGTGTTGAGAGGTCGTGGAACTCTGGGGAAGCTTCGGATTTATTAACTGCCCATTTCGTCATATGCGAAGATGCCGACCGCCGAGCTCAGAGCTCCTCCACTCCCTCACGGCCATGCGCTCCCCGGCCAATGATGACGCCTGCATGTCGCCTTACGTTCGCATGATGTATGCAGCATCTGTATCAGGACATGTGCATTCTCATGTGAGAGTATCTCAAGTAGAACAGAGAGCTCCAGTGTCTACTAATGCCCCGCGAAAGCCCCGCGCGGGCGTTCTCAGACAGAAACTAGTCAATCAAGACGTGGGTGACAGCTGTGCAGTTTTTGACTATCGCGTGCCGCAAAAAAGAGACGCTTGATCCAAGTACCATAGATCTCACCCCATGTGAGGTGATTGAGGGTTGCCCTGCATTTAGAACATTACCATTACGATCGTGCTTCGCGCTCCATCTTTCTTCTAACATAATCGAGCTACCCCGCCAACGTCATCATGGCGCCAGTCAATGTCGTCCATCTGCCCAACGGCCAAAACCTTACCGTCACGCCCGTGTTCGGCGGCCTCTTCTTCAAGTCGAGCGATATCCACACGCATTCGCCTTTTCCGCCTGGCTGGACCATTGTGCTCAATTCCGAAGATGAGCCTCCTACGGACGAACAGGAGCAGCAGCAGCAGGGTGAGGAGGAGCTGTTTCCGCCGCGACATGTACATCGCTTCAAGAAGCCGACCCTGAACGGAGATCACCTCTACATATCGTCCATATCGAACCCCAGTAGCAGCGAGTTCAAGCCCGCTGCCTCGCCAACGCGTCAGATCGCGATGATGCTGTGGGCGACACTGTACTGGTACTTTCACCAACCTGAACCGACACTCCAGGTCACGAATGCGATCTCCAAGAACACTGCGGATGCAGGAAAGCCAAAGGGCGAATGGCGCATAAACATCAACAGGGAGGGCGTGTTCAAGGGCAAGGTCGTGCTGCCCAAGTTGGAACGCATGGGGCTTATCGCCAGCGAAGATTCGACTGTTGGGTGTGCGCAAGAAGAGTCATCTCCTGAAGGCTGGGAGCGCATGTTTGTCAGTCGGAGGACCTTCTGGCAGCTCGATCCTAGGATATACCTCTTCACTCTCTCGCCATTAGCCAATACCAACTCACCCTTTCCTTCAGGCTCGCCGTATCCCTCGCGACCGTCGTCCCCCGCGCTTGGATCTGATGCGAAGCAGGAGCATCAGCTCGACCAGGTCTCGCCAGGCTTGTGGTCACCGACTGCGCCAGGCCCCTTCCACTCGAGCTCGCATCTACCCACGTTCTACCCACCACCTCCTGCGCAATACGTCTTCACGAACAATACGCGACACCCGATACGGCCGAAGCCACCTCGGCAGGGCGAAATACTATACACAAGGTACATACCCAGCGTTGGGCAATACCTGTCTTTCCGAGTAGCTTCCATCTCTTCGAAAGCGCTTCGACACCAGGGCCCGGTCTCCAGCCACGCGCCCAGTCCAAACGGCATGTCGGATCCGGAATATCTACACAAGTGGATGAACGACCCCCGCGTGTCGCATTTCTGGGGCGAGGCGGGTCCACAGGCCCATCAGGAGCAGTTCCTCAAGAACGGCCTACAATCGAAAAACTCGTTCCCGGTCATGGGATGCTGGGATGGGAAGCCGTTCGGCTACTTTGAGTTATACTGGGTCAAGGAGGATAATCTCGGAAAATACCTGCCCATTGTTAGCGATTACGACCGGGGTTTCCACTGCTTGGTGGGCGAGCAGGAGTTTAGAGGAGCGCATAGGGTCAAGATCTGGTTGAGTGCATTAGTGCACTACTGTTGGCTCGCGGATAACCGGACGGAGAGGGTCATGTTGGAGCCGAGGGTCGATAACGAGAAGTAAGTGTTGCATCCTACACATAGTACAATACTAACTGTCTAGACTGGCAAACTACCTCCAAGAAGCTGGCTTCTACAAGGAGCGCGAGATCAGCCTCCCACACAAGCAGAGCAACCTGTTCAAAATCAACCGCGACGTATGGAAGGGACCGGCGCTGTGAGCCCGCGGAGACGGAAACAAATGTGGAGTTCGTATTTGGGCAGAGCCGCATGAACCGCATGAACGGGTTACGGCTCTTGGTGGATATAGTTTTGTGGAGTAAGCGCATCATGAGATACCAAGGTCTAGACTCTAATTATGCCGTTGAACACGTCTGAACTTGACATGTCACTTGCGTGGGGGAGTTCTTGGTCATTCAATTGGATACGACCGGGAAATCAACCGCCGAGGGCTTGAAGAACATGTCTAAGTGAAGCAATTCGGAGATGCCTTGTAGCAAAAGATCGCTACAAGGAGCCTCAAAGCCGCCCAGAACCCCAACAACGCGCGCGGGAAAATTTCTGCTACTCCAAATCGCCATTTTCTTGTCGATCGGCCTATCTCAGGTTCCGACAGTAGGATGACAATCGACCATTGACGTGCGTTTGCAAAGGTGCGATAGTAGCTAAATGTGGGGTTTAGCGAGGGACCAAAACTTTTTGGCTACACGTGAGGACGTCATTGGTTTGTTGGGATAGAAAAAGGGTGACCCACGACGCTGTGAATCACCGCTTGGAATTTGACCTCACGATAGCCCCTCAGTCCAGCTCTATAACCCTTTGATTGTAGTGCTAGCATACGTGTTGCGAATTACTACAGGGAACGCTGGAGAGCAAACGTTGATACCGAATTCGGAAGACTATCGGGCTAATCCACAAACGAACCGTTAAAGTCATCGACCACCACATCACACTCACACTCACACTCTCCTCCTCATACACACGCGCAATCATGGCCGCTCAAGACGCTTCCCTCGATATCCAGTCTCGCATATCGACTATGAAGGCGCAATCTGGTGCCACCATCTTCGATGCGTACCAGACGTCTCTCACCGGCCGGTACTGCTCCCCGGAGATGTCGCAACTCTTCTCGCAGCGCAGCCGGCACTCAATATGGCGCAAGCTATGGTTGTTCCTCGCGGAATCAGAGAAAGAGCTTGGAATCCAGAGTATCACTGATGATGCGCTTTCCCAGATGAGGGAGCATCTGACTGTTACGGATGATGATTTCGGGGTTGCCAAGGTCGAGGAGAAGAAGAGGAGACACGATGTCATGGCGCATGTGCACGCTTTTGGTCAGGTTGCTCCGGCTGCTGCTGGTATTATCCATTACGGCGTAGGTTCTTATGCTTGAAAAAGTCGATGTGATTCAAACTGATAGTCTACAGGCAACAAGCTGCTACGTAACCGACAACGCAGAACTAATCCTCATGCGCGACGGACTGGATCTTCTCCTCCCAAAACTCGCAAAGGTCATTTCCAACCTCTCAGCCTTCGCCCTGCAATGGAAGAGCGAGCCCACCCTCGCCTACACCCATCTCCAACCCGCGCAACTCATCACCGTAGGCAAGCGCGCAGCCCAATGGGCGCAAGACCTGCTCTTCGACCTCGAAGCCATCGAGCTCGTCCGTGAAACCCTGCAATTCCGAGGCGCCCAAGGCACAACCGGCACACAAGCCTCCTTCCTCGAGATCTTCAACGGCGACAGCAAAAAGTGCGACCAGCTCAACGAGCTTCTCTGCAAAAAAGCCGGTTTCCCCTCGTGCTACGCCATCTCAACGCAAACCTACACGCGCAAAGTCGACCTCCTAATCGCCAACGCCATCTGCGGGCTCGGCGCGTCCGCCCAAAAGATCACCGGCGACATCCGGCACCTAGCCGCGTGGAAAGAGCTC